CACAAAAAAACCTGTCTGTCCGTTGCCTTGCAAACAAGGTCACCTATCGGTAAACAGCTGTACGGTGTTTAAGCACCCTCGGAACTTTCATTCATAAATACCCCGTTTTAGCGGTGAGGAGGTCAAGGCTTTGGTGTATTTGTGATAGACTCAGGTAATGATTGATGGTGTGTTAGGTTACTGATAAAGACGACAGGTCTATCCTATTACACATATACATAAAACTGCTTTGCCAAATAAATAAAAAAAATAATTTAAAAGCACTGAACAGTACACTGAAGGTAGAGGTTGGGGATGAGGATGGAAAACAGCTATTATAAGAATTCTTACATGAATTTTATATGTATATTTCTTTCTGGAGGAAACAGATAAATACAGAACATATCCTGGTTTCTAAATTGTTTGAACACAATCCCTTTTTTAAAATTCTTTATTTTTCTTAATTCAAACCTAAATGGGAGAGCTAATAGCATTTTCAGATAACTTTATCTTTGTGAGTACCATAGTTCATTGAAAAAAAGTATATATGTCAGCTTTAAAGAAATAGCATTCAGGTTTGCTCTTAATGCATATTTAATTAAAAGAAATAGCCAGTTTTGCTCTTAATGCACAAAACTATCAATGTATTCATTTAGAATTTCAGAACAATAAATATTTGCTGAAAAGTAACCTTATTTTTAATACGATATACTTTAAATATAAGAGAATAAAATATATTATCTATATATGTGCATCATTTAATGATGTAAACATTTTGCAATTTATATTAAAAAAAAAGCAAATTAAAATCGTTAATTTACAGTATTGAAATAGGCTAAGGAAAAGTTCGACGAATAACGATAGAAGCCTTTTAGAATTGCCTTTGAAGTGCAATGTGTATGTTTCTATCACGTGTGATCTTTCATAAAAAATTTTAGTGACATGTTTAAGCTGACCTTGAAACATACATTTCATTAGTTATAATTACTTTTAACACAATGAAACACTATAATTATGATAATTACTATGTTACTCAAAATGTGCCATTCTACTCAACATGTCATGAGTTATTCTATCTAAGCCATCTGTCACTCATGCTCAGAATTGTGCTAATTGCCATTGTTATAATTTATTATTTATATGTTACATGTATCATTGTTAATCAGTTAACTCCTAGGCTTCGGATTGTTCGGGTGCAATTTTTGGATTTCCAGAATTCACCCTACCGACCTAAGTTTATAATAAAGTGTTATTCCATCGTTAGCATTTTTATGTTTTATTGTTGCCGGAAAGTTTAACGCTTATTTTCCCCGGTGATAACTTGGTGGAGATATCCTAAGGGTATAACGCCCGGGGCTGCTGCATATATTTTGTAGCAGTTTGATCCCGAGTACCATCAACTAAGCGAGTTCCCCCAAGACGACCTATCTAAACAATACCATGCCAACCTGGAGAAAAGGACTTTACCGCTCCTCCCAAACATCTATACATCGCCATTGTCTTTCGCGTCCTTGGTTCACACCAGGACCAGCACGAATTTTCTCGACACCTAGATCCAATCCACGGTGCTATAGGTGCGGGAAACCCTTCTTCCACGGCCACCTTTTCACGTGTCCAGCTACATGTTCCGAGTGTTTCGTGTGCGGAAAACATGATCACTATGCGCAAGTATGTTTTTCTTCTGCAACCACACCTTACCGTTCCCCCCAAAGGAAAACATTTCCAGTGGCGTCCATCGATCACTCAACGATCAAAAGGGATCAAGCCAAGGGGTCAGGACGGGCCTGCTTTAAAAGACAAACCCGGGAAACCCATCTGTAGGATCGTCTGACAACAAGTCAGCAACTTGCGATTCTACTGCAGGTGTGTGTTTTTCTCGGACTGCTACCAAATCTAGTCAGATGAGTGTTGCTGTTGCGGAGACGCTAAGGAAGAGCATACTTTGTCTGCAGACCAAGTCCGTAAGCAAACGGCGCAGGGATTCAAGAAGAATAAAGGATTATTACGATAGGTTGCAGTTAGTAAAATCCTTACCATTTCAAGACCTAAGTTCTGAAGATATTTCCAATTTATTCAAATCAACAGGCCATACCACCCAACTAAATGCGTTACAGAATGAAAACAAGACTTTAAAGACAAAGATAAGTGAACTAATAATGAAATGTGAAAATCTTCAAAAAGTGACATCCGCCCTCCATAATCGAATATCAACATTGCAAGGCAATCAAAACCCAACGAACAACGGAATTGGGAACTTCAACTAAGCTAAGTGTGTTACCAAAGGACATCCTTTTCTTCCACTACCAACACCAACCAATAGTTACTAGTGCCAACAACCCAGTGCTGCGCATTTCAGTTCCGGATATTCCTGAGACGAGGACGTCTCTTTTGCGAAGCGAGAGGGAATTATCACGGTGTGATTTTTGATAAAACAATTTTAGTGACATGTTTAAGCTGACCTTGAAACATACATTTCATTAGTTATAATTACTTTTAACACAATGAAACACTATAATTATGATAATTACTATGTTACTCAAAATGTGCCATTCTACTCAACATGTCATGAGTTATTCTATCTAAGCCATCTGTCACTCATGCTCAGAATTGTGCTAATTGCCATTGTTATAATTTATTATTTATATGTTACATGTATCATTGTTAATCAGTTAACTCCTAGGCTTCGGATTGTTCGGGTGCAATTTTTGGATTTCCAGAATTCACCCTACCGACTTAAGTTTATAATAAAGTGCTATTCCATCGTTAGCATTTTTATGTTTTATTGTTGCCGGAAAGTTTAACGCTTATTTTCCCCGGTGATATTTCTCTCAGCTATTGGCGAACTCCTTCTTATCAGCTTAATTCAGATGACATTTATTCTTGGTAAGTCTGTTTATTACGGTACATGTAATTTATATCTCCAATTAAAGTACACCATGATATATTCCAGCTGACAGGAGATGACCTTGAATCAGGTTGGTAAGCATAGCATTTCCTTTTCACTATCTTACAGCATGTTCAAGAGCAATAAAAAATCATTGACTTGTAATTTTTTTTCAAACAAATTTTTTAAAATGATACACAAAATGACATACTCAGAAACGATTATTTTATTACATGCAAATAATTGATTGAAAAATGTAGGATGATGATAATTTATCATACCGGTATGCATTATCTTTCACCGTCTTTCGGCATGTCCAGGAGCAATAAAAAAAAATCAATGATTTGTAATTTTCATTTTTTTCCAAACAATTAAAAATGTTACACAAAACACTACTCAGACATTATTTTCAAAAGAAAATGCAAATAATTGATCGAAAAATGTAGGATGATGATAATTTATCATAAACAACATGCTCATTAATTTGAAGATACATCAATTAATAACATTGGCTGACTCATTTCAGATGAAGATAAACGAGACAGTATACGTGCCCTGATGCAGATTTCATCCGATGATATGAATATTTCTTATAATGAATCCAGGGAGATGTTTTACATTTTAATAATGATACACGTACAAATAAAAGTTAAAAAGAATTGAAATGAACTTTGTCATTCATCTGTAAACAGTTTCTGAAAGATTTGGTCTACTTCAACGCATTTATTCCCACTGCCTTTATACTTGAGAAGCTTCGTTTTATTCAGTTCTCTGTTGACCTTGACTGAATGAAAATGAGGGGTAAATAGCTTTGGATTTCTTTCGTGCTATGATCTTGTTAATATAATACTCATTATGCCAGGAATTAGGTAGCTACTAAGTGTATGCCATCTTTTTCTGTCAATGACCATGGACTTACACAACAGTGGCCCTGAATGAGTAACACAATTAAATTTTTTTTATTCAGGTACGAGCATCCAATGTTTTTTTAATTACCGGGCTCGGATATGAATTAAATTTGTACTTTTGACCATAGCACTGGGCCTGGTCAAGGTCGGGACAAATCCACAGAAAGTAAAAAATTTTTCTGAAGTAAACGTTTCATAGATAGTGTTATTATCATTCCAATAAAGTGATGACCGAGGCAATATTATGTTGAAGGTCAGAAACAGACGGACAAGGTATACTTATCTATCCTTCTTCCCACATTTTTTTCATGATAGAGGGATACATTTTTAATTTCTTGAAGATCATGCACAACATACATTACGCTTCCTTTTGAATTACCTTTCCAACTGATAATTTTCTGAGGAATTCTACTTTCTTAAAATCAAAAATATGCCATTAATGTGCGATTAAATTCTCTAAGAAAAAAAAGAATACACTGCAGATGAAAAATGATTTTAAAAATTGTATTTTAAAAGAAAAATTAAGGAAAATTGTTTTAGCTGGTATTTTCTTAAAATTTGCTTCAGAAAAGGTGTACCAAAATTACCAGGATTAATGGCATCGCACAAATAGCCCTTAATTATCGGAACTTTTAATCAAAAAATATATGCAATAAGAAAATAAAGCAAAAAAAAAACTACCTTGTGGATGATCTAAAAATCCAATATTATGAAAACTGTTACATGTAGTTACATCTCTAGCGATGTAGCGATGTTTCTAATTTATGCAAGCATGATCATAATATATTCATACAGATATAAATCTTATTCTTTAAAACAACCAATGAGTACTCTCTCATGATGTGTAATCTGGTTCTCCTTAAAACAAAAAAGTTCGCAATTCCGTCAAAAACGAAATGCAGACTTGATCTTCCAAGCTTCATATCTGCAAGCGTACAGAAAATAGCGGAAAACCAACTGGGACAAACGGTTGAAAAACAGGGGGCACAGACATTGGAAGAAGACATTATACAGTGTATAGTCCCGCTAGTTCCACCAATAGGGGACTGATAAATGCTTATGATTTTAGTGAATATTTGTTCACATATCACTTGGGCTTTAATCTTGTTGACAATTATTTCTTATTAAAAAATTTATAAAGTACCATCACAGATTTATCCAAAATTGATTCCCATTTCAAAAATGAAACCAAACAAACTTTACAGAAATTAGGATTGTGTGACACTTACTGTTGATTCCAAGCGTTTCACAGACTTCCATCTCTTCGTCTGATAAGCTGTTGTCGAAGTTGATTCCCGCCATGCTGCTTGTAAAGACAGAAATCAGCTGATAGTCCCCTCCAGTAGTGAGATATATTTATATCCTATCCCAGGGTTCGGTCCTTAGCCTCTACAGTGAGCTGCCGACGAGTCTCAAGGTTACATCACTAGTTAAATAAGGATGAGTGGCATTACAAGATTAATTATAAAAACTTTAAAAGATTCACATATATCTTATGTTCCTTGACCAAATAAAAGAGAAAATCCTACAGACGATAACGAGGGATTATTAATATATTTGCTATCATGCAGAAAAGCAGAAGGTCATATACCTTTTTTTATATATATGCTGCGAAAAGTTTACATTTCATGGCTTTAAACGTAGTACATTGTAGTTTAACAAAACTAAGGAAAGGGGTGAAAGAATGATGAATATTTCATTGGGCTACAAGTGATCATACAAATTTCAGAAACTGTTTAATCGTTTAGCTAATGCTTTTGTTTGGTCCTGTTCAACAAATTAAGAGTCAATGTTTTTCTAATGTGAAATATTTGATAATCAATACAATTCACCAGTTTTCATCGACCACTGAAATTCATGAGCAGTCTTGACAATCTTTTGGAATTCCAATGGGTACTGATTGCGTCCCGTTATCAGCAGAAATATTTTTGTATTCACATGAAGCAGATTTTGTGAAAGATCTTAAAAGTGAAAAGTGAATTTGCTGTGGCCTTCAACTCTTATGCCCTGTTCACACGGAGAGTTTAATTCGCAGTAAATTAATGCGAAGTAAACTAATGCGAATTAAAATAATGCGAATTAAATTGCGTTCACACGACAGCTAATTCGAAGTAAACAAATGCGAATTAAAATTTTACTTCTGCAGCCAGGCGTCAGCACGGCTATTATGACGTCATTTGCAGATCACGTCACCTTATGCAGAAGCAGATCCATTTGACATAATGGCAAAGTGTCTGTATACACATTTTGATGATTAACAAAATTTTCCTTAGTTTTTCACTCAAAAATAGCACAAGTACCTATAGCTGACCACCGACAAGTGGCATTTGACTAAATTTTGCCATTACGCATGCGTCAGAATTTAATTCGAATTAGCTTCGCTTAGCGTTCACACGGAGCTAATGCGAAGTAATTTAATGCGCAGTAAACTAATTCGAATTAAACTAATTCGCATTAAATTCTCCGTGTGAACACTAAGCGAAGCTAATTCGCAGTAAACTTACGTTTAATTCGAATTAAACTCTCCGTGTGAACAGGGCATTAGATATATCGACGGCGTATTGTCAATTAACAATTGTTATTTCCCTTCTTATGCCGATACGATTTATCACGGTGAGCTTGAGATAAAAGATACCACAGAGTCTGACACATCAATTTCATTTTTAGATATTTTACTTGAAAAAAAGTCAATGGTGATCTAACAACCAAGCTTTATAATAAACGTGATGATTTAATTTTTCAAAAATCGTCAATTTCCCTTATGCGCCATAATACAGTGTACCTTCGTCATCTGCATACAGGTTTATATTCTCTCAGTTGATTCAATACGCGAGAGCATGCTAAGTTCTATGGTGGATAGAAAGACCGGGCATAACCGGTCGGCAAGGGATGCTCACTCCTCCTTGCCACCCAATCCACCTCCGATGTTTTGAAGATCCTTGTTTGCCTGCTCAAATTTTGTATTGTTTAAATGGACTTCAAGATTGAATACTGTTTGTTATCTCCATATACTAGTATTTCATTCTATATAATCTTCAGATTATACTATTACAATTCCATTGTAATAATAGACTGACACTTTTAAAACACATCTGTATTATTTGTCACTTATTGGGAAGCATGTTAAAATACTATGAAATTGTTAGAACTACTTCGAACTACATCTTAAAGTAAGAAGTCTTACTTTAGCCGTTAAAATATAGTTATATTGATGAAGTTTTATCAATTAAAAAGATTATTTCCATTTGTATGTATACTCGATTTGATCCAGTAAACTTAAAATAAGAAAGATTGATGTTGTATAGAAAATTGAAGATAATGAACAGTTATTGATCCCAAAAATCTATGAACAAGCGGGCATAAGACACGGACTCATGGAAATTCCAGTTGAGGAGTAAGCATTTGGATATTTTTTTTTAAAGAAAAGATAATTAAAACTTAACCGCTAAACTTTAAGATCAACTTTTTCTCCATTTCCCCATTCCCTTCTTTAAATCTTAGCTGCACTTGGCGTTCATGACTTTCATATGATTCCATACACAAGAGCATGTTTTCTTATCAATTTCTATACCAAAAGACTGCTAAAAATAATTTGGTGTTAGACGGGTATCAACAATATCATTTAAAGTAAACAGTTTAGAAAGTCTAGATCGATGCTATCATAATGGCTTTGTTTTCATTTACAGCCTATCGTTTGTTCAAATATTAAATATACGTATTTCATACAAAGTTTAAGACAATTTTTATCAAAACTGAATTGTCTGAGTTACTTTTTTGACAAAGACAAAGGGCTAACAGAAGGTAACGTCGGTCTACAGGGGTGCTTACTTCTCTATTACACCTGATCGTACCTGTACGAGGGGTTATCAAAAAGTTCGTGGACTGAGACTATAAAATTAGTACTATGTAGTCTGTGCTTTCAAAATTAATATGGAACATAAAACAACACAAAATAAAGAAAAGTTGAAAATTTTAGCCTGATACGTTCATTATTTGCCAAATTATTACAAAATATAAACTACATTATATGATCCCCCGGCGCTGTCGTCGTTTATTTTCATGACGTCCGATAACGTCATTGTTTTTTCAATGTCCTCTTCTCCTACCTCATACACTTTTTTGATGAGATTCCCTGGAGCTGAGTAAGGACTTAAACCCGCCTTGTTTATATGACTTTGAAATGTCATGAACATTGGCCTTCAATGAATATAATATTCCAGATGGATTAATATATCGGGAGAGATCCGCACTTGATTGTACCGGCATATTTTACTTTTGGGAGTTCAATATCTACAACACATGATCAACGTCATTTTTGACGGGATTGATTTTTCACACCTTGACTGCAAATCGACATTAACTGTGTATCCCTTTACTCTCTGAATCTATTTTGACATTAAAAGACAGGTACTCTGGATGCATATTATTTCTCTGTAACCAGTTTCAACATATTTTAGGTCTATACTAGTTTTTACAGGGGCAAAACTTTATGGAATGTTGGAAACGGAAACCCCTCACCCCTTTTGGCGTCATTTTCAAGGCCTCATTTGTTTGGACATTCCGTGTAAAATTTACGATAAAATTTCATAGAACTTCCAGAATGAAATGAAAATTCCATATTTTATAAAACAATTTTGTCCCGACACATACCTGAATTAACGGGATTTTTGGATGTCAAATAATCATATCAAAGTAGTTTTTCTCAGTTACACACAGGTCGAAAAAAACGTCGTTTTCGAGGTTGCGCCGCCTGGACATACCATTGCTTACAGAAACATTACGAATTTATTAAAAAATAACATTCATGATTTGTGGTTTATTCTTTGGATAGAAAAGATGATGCTAACTAGATATTTCAAAATTCATTGATGTACCCTAAGCGGTTTTAATTTTATGGCGCTAGTCCACGAACTTTTTGATAACCCCTCGTAAATGATGTTTTCGGAGGTCGTTTTGCAATTTTCTAAATTTGTATTGTTTAATGCATTTTGAACATAAATATTCTGCTTGTTTTCACCATCTTGGAAAACACTCTCAAGCATCTGATATTAAGGTAAAATAATTCATTTTACCTTTTCTTTTAAATTATTTTTTGCATGTTTGCATTCTATTCATTTGTTTCTTTTGTTTGTTTTTTAACTGTATTCTTGATTTGGTTTTTAGCATTTTGCATGTATTACCATTCCTGCAAACATTATTGAAATTTAAATTTTCTTCGAGTAATGTTGAAAACCACTCAAGAATTCAGCACAATTCCTTCTTTTATGAGCACCCCTTAACATTCTGAAGAACATTTTCACTCTGCCAGACACAGTGGTCAGATGAGTAGATGGTTCTACAGTTGTAACACTGATTTTGACTTTGGGTCCATGTTGCCGCATTGTCCATATTATGTCTGTGATAATCATTTCGAGACAAATTAAATTTGATGATTCAGGAGATATGGATTTACAGGAATGTTTATTAAGAACTTTATTAATATTACTTTGCATAATTAAATTTTAAATTAAAAATAATGAATATTTTTCTAATAACTGGAGTACTTGTTAAATTCTAGTTACTTTTTCTGCTTACTAATGGAAGATAAAGTGTTATGTGTATAGTTGACCACCTTCTTAAGTAAAGAAGGGGAATAGAAAGAGTCTACATATAAAAGTTGGGTAGATACTTGGGACAAAGGCTCGAGTAGGCTAACCCTTCAAGCATTTTGATTAACTTCTGTGTATGTGTGCAAGTGTGACATTCTAGTATTGAACGTGCAAGTGTGACATATTGAATTCTAAGACCATAATAAAGATTCTTTAACGTGTTTGATGTCAGCTTTTAAAACTTTAAATGGCGAGAGCAGAATACATTTCAATTCATACGAAAAATTTTTGCGGCGAGTTCAATCATAGGAAAAACCGATCCCGTTTTACAACCCTTTTTACGTCTTATTCTCTTTGCGCAGTTAGTTAAAGTTATCCTGCATTGCACATTTTTATTCACCTCAAAGGAATTTATCTTTAAAATGACAATTCAAGTTAAAATACCAGTAATCAGATTTCCAGTATAATTATATTACCTGCCTTCTACCTTAAAATGGCTTAAACACGTTTTTGGTAAGTGAATATAGAAGTGACTTTTGGAATTGTGCAGAGAACAATGCATGCTAAAGGTGGTGAGACAATGTGGTGATAAAAGGTTGCACTGTCTCTGTTGTATTTGGATAAACAACCCCAGACTCCCAATACAAGTCCACGGGCCACGGCTACAAGGCTGCTATTGGTGAAGGGTTGACAAGAGGTGTCATAATATATATTGTTGTTTATCTTACATACTTAAAAAGTTAATCTGTACTGTAGGCACTTTTTTGAGCATACATTTTTATATTTCTAGCATCCTTTACCAGTAAACCATACGTTTTTATTGACATCCATATTATTTCTTGGTTGCTGAATGATTTTAATATAAGTGCAATATTATATCTTTACTATTCTAACATATTTGTCGTTATCTGGCAAATGAAATGTGTCATCCAGACGATTTTTAATCATTAAATATCTAAATATAACACTTTTTAATTATTAAAATTTTAATAAATAACACACTGAATTCTCTGTTTATTACAATAACGTTAGAGCAAATATTTTACGAGTTTCTTTAAAATTTAAACAAAAGTAACGACACACGTCTTAGGGAAATATTTTTTTCTTCTATTGTTTCGCAATAGTTATACGTCTTTTGGATAAAAAGAAGATTAATAACTTTCTTTAAATTATTTGCTCGTATGTTCACAGAATTCTGTATTTGTAAGGAAAATCTCACTCTAGACACGATAAATCATTATTGCCTTTATGCATCTCGGAATCAAGCACAAGGAATCGATAAAAACCTGAATGAAACTGAAGGTTACTTGAAGGTGGATTCTGATGCAGAATAAAAAATTGAAAATTGTATTTTGTAACACGATTGAAAAACAACTGCTAATAATCAATTTAAAATAGGTAAAATGCTTACCTTAAATTTGCTGAAAATTAAATCTCCTAGACACGGGAATCAGCTGATCTGGAACCGCGAACCTTCTGGATCGTCTGCTCAGCGATAATGCTGACGTGCAGGACTTGGGCACCTTGTTTATAAAGTGCGTTGTTTACGTTGTGTAAGGTATGCAGGCAAAATTGTTATGTTCCTAAATAAAATGTTAATATATTATATATAAGTATAAAAACAAGTACCTCTATCACTCGATTACAAACAGTTATTTGTTTTGTTATTTTAAAAATAAATTAGATCAACGCAACGGTCACCAATCCATAGTCTAGATACTTCCTTAATGTGGGTTTTCTTTTAAAGCAAGAATAAAAATAAGAATTAAGTTTGAAATAAAGGGTTTAATAAATTATCATAAATGTTCATTTATACACACAATCAGACATAAAAAAAACAAACAAACAAAACATTGGTAAATAAATAACAAAATCCAAACCGTTCACACTATATGTAACTTCCTCATGCTGGAACTTGTAAATAATGCGAACGTTGCAAAAAACATTTCACAAACTGAAATCCGGAAATAAGTCTGTGCCCATATACCCATATATCTTCAAATAATATACATGTACATAAGGAAAACTTTTTTTTACGTTGCATTTAATAAGGAACCGTTACGTCCAGTTTTGCCATACACAGTGCCTTTTTGGGTTTATATGTTTTATTAATTCGTCATCTGGAGATAAAAGAATTCTATAAAGAAACATAATTTTAAAAAAAACATACAGTCTAAACGGGAGTTCACTACACTGGAGATATCTTCATAACCCACGGGGCTTTATAATCGTCAACCGTTTCCTGTTAATCAGTCTCTCTCCATATATATTGTTAATTACCCTTATATCGATTTACTAAGACTAGAATACTTATTTTATAGCTCTGTTTTGTAAAATTTCAAAATCTAACCAAAGTTAAATTTATAACATTTATCAACTAACAATCCCATATTTTACCTTTACTTTCATGTGACAATTCGTCATTTGATAGTAATTTGTACAAGGTTCACCCATGGTCATTATTCAGTGTAGTAAAATTATATCTACACCACATACAGTAATCGTGGATCTTTTTTAATTGCGTCTATTTTAAAGTTTATTGATAAGATTGCAAACATACAGCAGAGCTAGATTAGCCTATATCAATGTCTGAATGAGTGACGTCGGGATAGTGTTGTCCTTAAATCGTTACAGGTTAGAATTATTACCTCAATTGACCAGACTTAGTGGACCAATGTCATTGACTGAGTAATAAGCATTTAAAAGGAAGTTTGGCTGGTCATTGATAACATTTTGTCATTTTGTGTAGATAAAATAATTAAACAATGCGAACGTGAAAAAACATGACCTAGATAAACACACCGGCCTTGGGAATTTTTGTTGTGTTACTATTTTTACTTAAACGCAAAGAAGCCGGTGGCATAACTTCTAGAAAATTATAACATGTTTGTTGATTCATGCCTGTTTTTTTCTCAAATAAACTTTTAATTGAGAATCACCAGTATGATATTAAGTCATTCAGTTTGAGTGAACTATATATAGTATATAATTCCTGCTGTTAACTATATTGTATATACATGTAGTTCCTGCATTTTTTTATGTTCACGGATAGGAAAGACAACTCTATGTGGAATAAATAAGGGGTATGTGTAAAAGAAGAAACAGGAAATGAGAAACGAGAAACAACAGAATGAAAAAAACAACCAATGACTTCAAAATGTCAACCAGGAGTGCGGTTTTTGCCATTGATTAAATTTTGTTTTACACATACCCATATATTAGTATTTTATCATTTAAGAAACGACATTTCTGTTACATTGAACATATTACATCTGTGGTTACTATTCAAACTTGATTTATGCTAGAACAACATTAAAATTGGTAAATGCATGTTGCTTTAATATATATTTCATTAAAAACGTAGTATTAACCTTTGTATAAAAAACATATTTCAAGAGTGTGCATTTTGATGATTTTCTTTGTATTGATTGTATAAACTAACAAATGCTCAAATGATTTCTGGAATTAGATCTTACATGTTTATGCACGAAAACAATTTACAATTAAAGTATTGTTTAACTGAGAAAAAAAAACTCTGTTATAGTAATAAAAAAAAGTATGGAAAAATCATCGTTCGTTTTTTTTTCGCCTTTTTATTCTTTGGGGGCGATTTCGTTGATAGGTCAATCATTGAAATGAAACATATTGAGATAACGAACAATATTCAAGCTCAAAAGTCCATTAAACAATACAAAATAGGAGCAGAGCAAACACGGATCTCCGAAACATCAGAGGTGGAATCAGGTGCCATGGAGGAGTCACGAGTGAGTGTCCCCTAACGACGAATCATACCCGCCGTGTGCTCCTTGTAATGATCGGTAAATTACGGAAAAATGCGTCGTCAATTCAGTGTATAATTAATGGACTAACAATTAGTATGAAAAACTGCCAGCATCAACATTTGACTCAATGATAAATTGTAATTTGCATAACGGGTAAGCCCGTTGTGCAAAAAACTTATAAAATGATGACTTTCCCACAATATTTAACATGTCCCAGTGGCATATTTTATTGTAATAGACAGTGATTCCTTTATATATTTCCATTTCATTTTGACATAAAATTGTAGATTTATATTTTAAAAATGTAGACACAGATTTAAATTACACGAGGACTCCCATGCCAATTTCAATGTAGTCCTCGCCCACTGACGACAAACACAAAGGCAGCCGCACGAGATTTACATGCATATTTGCCTCCCTAGCTCCTGACCTATCGACCTGCCTAATTTACATTCCGGTAGAGTTATCAAAAATTTAACTCCTCTAATTTCAAAGAGTTATCACAGAGAAAAAAATTAGAAATGGAAATATATATTGGTCAAACAATAAGTATGAAAAACTTCAGTCAACATTTGACTCAATGATAAATTGTATTTGCTGACAAGGTCATTGTATCGACCAAAATATATTATATAGTTATATAGTATTAGTAGTTATATTATTATATTACATAATTCTTTGAATTTCATGTATAAAGGAATGTATAAAACACGTTCAGAAAATATTCTTTTCTAAAAATCCATAATACGTACATATATTGAGGCAATTCTCATAGCTTACTATTTTTTTTAAATGAATTAGTATAAATAAAAATAAAATACATTAAAATTAACAAAGAATTATATATGTACATTTGTAAAGCATTTGTTTGACCTTTTCTCAATTCTGATATTAGAATGATATATAATGAATGCATACTATTGAAGAAAACAATTTATGTGTCAGGATGTCTTCTGATTCAATTTCCAACATAAATAAAAGTGTATACGTAATAATAACCCAAGGACGTATATTTGAAATGCATAAAACCAAAAAGCAGGGCCTGTGTTTCAAAAGCACATAAGCAAATGGCAGCAAAAGTTCGGAAGACGAAGTAAATATACTTAAAAATTAACATATTTTCTTTGCACTAAAATTAAACTTTCATCCCTAACCCTATCCCTATACTAGAATATATAATTTAATTTTAAAATGATCTCTGTTAACATATAATGCTGCCTTGCAGATGCATGACCGAATTCTATTCTTTGCCAAGAAAAACAACTCGACCCTGTCATCTATCTCTTGTTTTAAGTATAGTTTGTCATATTAAATAATTTACTGTGACTTAAAAATACTTATTTATCATTAACTCTGAAAATGCATGTTCAGCAAATATATATCTGTTTGTGAACGGCCTACATTATCTCGATTCACCTTATAAAGAATAAAAGGAATTTATTTTGCAGTCTTACTATGCATGTTCCGTGATTAGGAATACACGTTGTAAAATTAAATAGATACTGAAGTTATCAGTTCTAAAGCTTTAAAAAATAATTCAACGAATCAATGTTCAATAATGCTGACTTTTTTTCTTACAACTCTTTTAAATTTCGCAATACGAACCGAACTTTGTATTTCAGAAGCAGCAGGTCAAACAATAATTGTCGAAATGATTAAAATGCTTCCACATTTAAAGTATAAGGTACCTTTATAACTGCATATCAAAATATCAAAAATGTTGAAATGCAGATACGTCGACCTAATTTTTCCCTTGTAAACAAGTTATTTTTGAGCTACTATTGTTAGCCTTATAAAGTGTATTGATTGCAATTACTGTTGTTCTCAAGAAAATATATGTGGCAATGAAAATTATATGAATTTGTAGATTTCAGGAATTTCTGTAAAATATAGGTTATGAAATATTTTTTACCATTGAAATCGAATATATGACGAACAATACATTCTGCTCAAATAAGCCAATCTGGAAGTCAGAAATGAATTTTAATTAAAAAATGTATGTGCTTGATATATATATATATATATATATATATATATATATATATATATATATATATATATATATATATATATATATATATATATATAAAACATTCTCTCGTTCTTCAAACTAACTCGTGAAATACTATTTTCTGTAATATCAATTATGCAAAAATAAAGTTTGTCTGTTTCGACACCCAGAATTGATGGGAAAGGGATAAGTATTTTTTTGTTGAAATATTTTATATATTTACAAAGATATCTAATTTATGTAGAAAATATAAAGTGTTTTCAAAACTTAATATCTTATTCAAAACACAATATATCATAATATTGTTTTGATGCACTTCGAATGCAATCCCATCGAATCGATTAAAACATGAATAGTAGTAGTAAATCTGATATTCAGATAAAATAAGAAACAAAAAAGAAAAGAAATCTTGATTTGTAAGGATATTGAAAACCATCTATTGGTAAATAAAGAATGTTCAGTTAAAATGCTTACCTTAAATTTGTTAAAATTTTAAATCTCCCAGACACAGGAATCAGCTGATCTGGAACCGCAACTTTCTGGATCGTCTGCTCAGCGATAATGCCGACGTGCAGGACCTAGCATACCTTGTTCATAGAGAATGTTATTTGTTTTGTTTCAGGTATGTGGCGAAAAATTTGAAAGTACAATTACAAAAATAAAAAATACCTATATCACAGATGACAAGCAGTTATTTGGTGTTGTTAAAAATAAGTTGAACATAAATTAAAATACCACGAAGGTCAACAACATACAGATGCTTCATCATTAAGATTTTTATTTTTTATTTAATTACTAGTAAATTATT